GAGCGGCATTATAATGAGAGGGTGTTGGAGAAGCAAGAGGTGATTAACTTTATGTGTAGCAATTTAGGCTCAGTATTAGCAGAACACTTTGGAACAGGAGCATCGATGAAACATCATTGGAAAAGATGACGTGGAACATGTTTGTCACGTGTGATTTGGGAGGAGCTGGGTGGTCTCTAGACCCCTTCGTCCCGGGCGTCTAAAATCACTGGGAAGAGGAAAGTGAGGGATGTTGTCTGTGGCAGCTGCCTCTGTCTGAGCCTTAAGGAAGGAGCTGAGAGTTCATAATGCTCTGGCTGCCGGGAGTGACTGAGATGTGTTGCTGAGATCTGTCCCTTTGTGGGCCAGTGGAGAAAAGGGACACAGCAGTTGGCAGAACTGCATTCTTGCGGGTAGAACTGCTTTCTTGCTTTCTTCCCTGGCAGCAAAATTGTTCACAAAAGTCCAGTTCAGCTGTTACAGCAGCTGCTTAACTAGGGGACTTCCCATGTTCCTGGGTTACTGAGGAAGTACTAGTGCAGTTGTGTATGCTGTTATCTGCAGGGTGACTCTGGCTGTAGGTCACAAATTTGTAATGAAATAGCCAAAGTTAGCGTCTTCCCTCTGTTCAGATGGTTGTAGCTCCACAGCCCTGATTTGTTGCAATGCCCAAAAGCTTGCTGAGGCTGGGGGGAGCAGCGAGTGCACTGGTGCCCACGGTGGCTGATGTCTGTACAGCCATGTAGGGTTTGTTCTTGTACCAAAGCGTTCAAGTGTGACACGGAGAAATGACGCTGTTGCTGTCAGCAGCATGGTAGACTGGTTATGCATACTGCTCCAGGCTTTTTCCTTTGCTTTTGTGTGCTTTCAGCTGCACATTTCTCTGAGGTCTCCTTGGCTCTCGCTTTTCTTTACAGGAAGGATCACGCTGAGCAACTGGGCAACGGCAGTGGAGTCAGTTTTGCACCTGGGATTGCCCTGGCGAATGCTGAGACCGCAGCTGGTGCGCAACACTGCGAATGGCATGCTGGAGTACAAGTCCTGGCTCGGTGACTTGGCCATGGAGCAGCGGAGCCAAGAGGTAAGAACTCACACTCCTCCAGGGTGTAAAGCAGCTCACAAGATCTCCCGGACGTGGAATCAAGCATAGTATGAATGGAGAGTGGATGTTTCCAGTTCTTGTACAATCCAAAATCACACTGAAGTCAATGGAAAAGCTTGCATGAATTCCAGTAGTCCAGAGGTGTTCAGTCCATTCTTGAAATAGATGATGCATGTGCAATCAAAACCTAGAAGTAGTTTTTGATGCAGGCTTTTAAGTAGAAAAACTATATTCCATTGTCTGAGTCGCAGTTTCTTAGATACAGCCAGCAAAGCCAACTCTGCAATGGTTAAAAAACGTAGCCCAAGTCACTATCTTCTCTGTCAGCCAGGAGAAGCTGAGTGGAAATGGTAAGTTGCTGATGTGCTGTAATGCAGAGCTGCACAGAGGATCCAGTCATCATAAACCTGATTCATAAGTCACACACCACGCAGAGTGCATTGCTGGCAAACTGTTGAGAGCAGTAAACATTTTAATTTAGGGGAAGTTCTGCAGTAACTGTTCAGAGAAAGCAGGGTACTGTCAGAAAAGTAGATGGAGTGTGACCCTGTTGTCTTTCAGCACATCCAGTCGAGCTTGCTGGAAGTCATTTATCGAAACAGATCCAACTTGGAGACCATATTCAGGATCATCGACAGAGATCATTCAGGTAAGCAGATGGGTAGGGGGTATCCGTCACTGCATTGTGTTCCATTCTACTTTTGGGCTCTGCTTACTATGTGCGAAGGCATTTTTATTCAATCGTTTAAAGCTTCGGTTTTTCTCCTCTCTCAATTGGGGTTTGTTGCTTCCAGAGCTTCTCAACTGTCATTGCAAGTTTCCATAAACATGATGCATTTTGAAGGACTGTGTGCAGTCAAAGTAGAGAATTAATAACTATTTCGTCTGGAGGAGTTCAGGAGAACAAAAATTATGATGACAGCCCTTACAGTAATGCAGCATACGGGGGATCCTGAGCATTACCTGCTTTCAAGCAGTCATCTCCATCCAATTACTTTGCGAAAGAGAAAACAGAACAGTCTTTGCTTTCTTTTATTCTCCCACTTTGTAATATGTCTCTTTACTGCTTTAAGTTGTATTTTAGCCAGTGTTCTGCGCACTAGGAAACTTAGTTGCAGCATGTGAAATTAAGATTATGAGTAACTTCATTCCTTCCCTAAGGGTATGCAGGCAGCAGGGGTGGGATGAGAGATCACACCTGAGCAGGGGTCCCTCCTTGCATGCTGAGCGGGGACTGACTGGCAGGCAGTGCCTGTCGGGACCTTGCGCTGAGGTGGCTGTGCCTTCCTTCTCCACAGGTCTCATCTCATTTGAGGAATTCCACCAAACCTGGAAGCTGTTCAGCTCCCACATGAACATTGAAGTCACGGATGATGGCATCAATGACTTGGTTCGCAGCATTGATTTCAATAAGGATGGAAACATCGACTTCAACGAGTTCCTAGAAGCCTTCCGCCTCGTTAAACAGGCATAGTAGCGAGAAGCTGGTGAGGGTTGCCATGTCCAATGCCTTGACTGTCTGCGAGGCCGGGGGACCGCTTCCTACCTAACCGCAGAGCGTGCCTGTAGATGCGAAGCAGGGAAAGGGAAGGCAGGTACTTGTAGTACTTATTGGTTGAAAACAGTGACTGCTGTAGCCACCAGCTGTGATCCACTTGGGGAAGGTAACAGGTAAAATAGATAAGCTGCACTTCAGTTCCGGCCATTTTTAAAAAAGAGCTGTGTTTGGAGTAGAAATTCCTGCTCAAAGGGAAGACACAACTTAGATGCAACTTGTCAATGCATGTGATGAAATGTTATAGTAAAATGAAAGTAAAGATATTTCTTTTAGGCAGTGTTGTAACCAGGTAGCAACTGCTAGAGCACAGCTTTCCTTTTAATAAACATTTTTTTCTAGATCGCTGGTTCTGGGCTGTTCATGCCTTCTCTAGTTGTCCATTCTGTTAGCAGCAGCGCTGTTTCAGTGAGAATACCTACTTCCCCTCTGTTGTTCCTTTGCTGCGATAGGTTATTTGTCAAAATGTTGCTCCACTGCTCGTGTTTAGCTTCAAACTTACAGAACAAACTTATCTCAAACATGCAAAACAGTCTCTAGTAGGGGGGCTTTTTTAAGAAATCTATTGAGACCAGTTCTTTTTCCAAGGTCAAGGTAGGAGATCAGGTAGGCCCCTGCTAGACCCCCTATGCTGCATCTTCAAGATATTTTCAAAGCATGGTACAATTGCAATTTAAAAAGCGGGAAGGGGGGTCGAAGTGTTTGAGAGGGAAAAAACCCACTTATTTAGCTGGAATATGCAGCATAGTCACTCTAGTAGTGGCGTTACAGTAGAAGACCTCACTTAAACAGCTACCCCGGGCCTTGAAAAAGGCAATTCTATCCTCAGTCAATTTCTCAGTAGGGCCCCTATTGCATGTTTGAGGTATTTCATGAATTGTAGCCATGCTTCCAAAAACAAACTAATCCTTTTTCCCCTTATTTACAGTTCCACATAAACTTTTTTCAACCCTAATAGAACCATGCTTCCAAAAATAAACTCTCTCTCGAGCATGCTGACCTCTAGCATGCTGATGCTCTATTTCTATTTTTCTATCTTTTAAAGGTTATGAATTGATATTTTTTTTTTTTTTGTGGCTAATTAACAACATTATTCTCTCTATCGTGTTTTGAGTTTTTCTGCTGCACATCTCCTCTGGCAGAGAATAATGTATTTTATTTTCAGGGATTTTTGTAACGGGGGAGGGGAAGCTCTCTCTCCAATGCACGTAGTAGGCACCTGCGCTGCAGTACTTGATACCCTGTAGGATCTAAGGAACATGACTTTGTATTTTAGTTTAAAGACTGAGGCTGCTAAGCAGCTCTGTGGCATCAGGTGTGATAGCCTGGTACCTGCAGCTCCTGGAGGAGAGGAGTGCATTAACCTGGAGTTGGTAGCAGTTTCACTTCTTTGTTGATGTAGCTGAGAAAGAGCCAACACTATCCACAAGTTATTACAAAGTCAGACCGAATTTATTACTCTCTGTCAGTTAAAAAAAGGTAGAAGACAAAGCCTAGACATTCTGCTGTTATTTACCGGGCAGCAAAGCTTTGTATAATTCACAAACATGAAGTGACAAAACCATAACCTTCAGCTCCTTCCAGTCCAAAGGAAGGACAGAAATTGGAAACATCAGCTTCCTCCAGCTTGTCCCAGTAAACTACTGGTATTTCAGAGACAGACATAGTTACAGCAACACACATATCTGTAATGGTGTAAATTAGCTGTTTACGTAATGACATTACTTGATTGTTTTGACAAAAACACAGAAGCAGGCTAAGCTTTCCACAAATCAAGTCACAAGTGGAACAACTCCCTCAGCACTGCATTTCTAGGACAATTTGATAGTAAAAAAAGGGAAAGAAAAAAAGAAAAATGTACAATAGTACATATAGTTTTATAGTAAACCAGTATCTGAACAGATTCCGTTTTCCTTCTTTTATTAAAGCATATACGGCTTTATAAAATAGAAACCTTCCAAAGGTCAAGTTCAAAAGCTTTGAAGAGGCTTTGCTAATTCTAAAGATAACAGCCAAAATACCATTGCTCTTACAAGATGCGTGTTTTATTTTACCTCAACAGTTTTAGCCTTGGAAGGTGAACCACAAACTTGAGTAACATGTTCTGTGTAAGCCCAGCAGCAGCATCCACCACGTCAACTGAAGACTCCTCCTCTGATGGGAATGCTCTCATTCAGCCCATGTTCTATAAGTTTGATGTCCTCCAGGTCATCCTTTATAATGCTAATTAGGTGACTCAGACCTTCTTGCTGCTGCTTGAGATGCTGCAAACAGTTTGAAAACCAGCATGAGCATAGTTCAACTTCACAGATTTTAAGTAGTATTTCTCCAAAGTGCCACATCTGGTGGCCTTGGCACATCGAAAAGCATGGCATAATTTCTTTGCAAAAAGGAAAACCAGCGTTTTCTGCACTAATAGCCTAGCTGCATAGAGTGGCTTTGTACAACACCTTGAAGCACTGTCACTGAGAAAAATAAAAAAAATGACTTAATCATCAAGCAACTAGAAAAACATGACATTCTAAATAGATCTCCCAGGTTAGTGTGTAGCTGGCTTAAATTATGAAGTTCAAAGAGTATCCCAGGATTCTACGAGTAATACATACTTGCTTGATTTCCCTTAAGAGGTCTGCATCTATGTAATAGCGCTCTTCAGCCCGCACTGCTCCAAAGTGGTTTTGCATCCTGATCTGGGACATGAGCTCATTCAGTCTGCCCTGAGAAGAGAAGCAGGCTTAAATTAAATTCAAATCATTTACATCTGTCAGAGCTCCAGCACATATCACTCCTCAAGCCATCAGGGGAGGAAGCATTGCAGATCATTCCATTTTTTTCCCCCCCAAGATATGCAAAGAGCAAGCAACTCCAATACTGCTAAGAACTCAAAAATACTTAAATACCTATCAGTCATGCAGCAAAACTTAGTAACGCTAATGGACTTCGCTTCCGAAAGCTTTCCACAATGAATACGTATGCACCGTTTGGAAAACGTACATTCTTTTGTGAGGAAAAAAACAGAGTTGTTGGCAAAGTTCTATTAACTACTCACCTTGAACTGTGTAGGTGCGTTAAGTTCACACTGAATTGTATCTAACTGCACACGAAGCTGCTCTTCATCTGCTTGAATGGCATAACCGCTTTTCCTTTGGATCTCCTGCTTTATTAACACCTAAAAAAGAAGCCTTTGAGGTTCATTAGAGAAGACTTTGCCCACCTCTTTCCCCACTAGCCCATCCACATGTCTTTCTGCCTTTCCTCCAGCATGTCTCTCATCAGATTGGTTCTGTCGCTTAACCTGCCGCTCTGAGACCTCAGGGCAGTCCCACAGCTTCTGAGGAAGTCAGAGAGAAGGTTCCCAAAGCAGTAAGACACACTGCGCACCTGAAGCTTTCCCTGCCAGCTCTGCCTGTTACTTAAAGCAATACCATTTAGATGAAGTCAGGACTTCATTTTCAACATGGGCCACGCACAAGATGGCACAGGTCATCCTGCCCCCTCTCGGTGTGCCTTCTGGCACTAGGCTGCGCGTCAGAACTAGTTATTTAGACCACCCGTGTTACCTGTAACGTTCTGTGAGAAAGCGCCATCAGTTTCCTTTTGTACTGTGCAATTTTTGCCATAGTTGTCGTTTGGTTTTTCTGCAGCTCACTGATATCTTCTGATATTATCTGCAGAGGAGATGGAGTTAGTTGGAAGTCGTAAGAGTTTCTGATAACAGAACACATTAGTCCTGATTTGAAACTTGGAGTGTCAACACAGTACCCAGTCCAGCAACTTAGCATCCTCGCCGAAGATGCTTTCAGAGAGCTTTTCACTAGACCTCTAGTGTTCTGCTTTCTATTTATTTTCATAGGCAACTGGGATTTTCAGAAGGCGTTTGAAAACTGAGTGCCCAAATTAAAAGTCTGTGCCAGTGCAACTTAATTCAGCTGGTTTTAATCAGCCTATAACAACACAGCAAGCTTGAACCTGAAAAAAATGAAAGCCAAAACATACTGCTTGGCTTTTGACCAAGAAATATAACTAAGAAATATATTAAGAAATAGTGATAGAGTCACAGCCCCATGCACACGGTCCCAGTTTCAGTTTTCTACACACAGGGGGAGGCTCATTTAATAGCACTTCCTTTGTCAACAGCAAGCAATCATGACGAAGATGAGCAACCTTACATCTAATCGAGTTTGGTGCTGTTTGGTCATCTGATCTTGGACTTTCAATCTTCTCAACAGTTCCTTGAAACCCACCATTGGCACAGGAATAAGCCTACAAGAACACAAATATTTCTTACAACACATTTTTATGTTAGACATGTGGTATTGATTAATAAGTATGACTATAATCTAAAGTTACAGATGATCTTGGCCTATTATAAACTAAGATAATACATAAGCATATCTTGTCTTGCCAAGTCCTACAGTTCTCACGATTCTTAACAACCCATTCCTTTTTCATAAAGAAATTGGCCAAAGTTATCTGTAACTACAAGAGGGTAGAAGGGTACATAGCTTTCAGCTGCAGGAATAAAGGGAAAAAAACATAATGGTTGCAACAAAAAAAAAAAAGTCACAACAACTAGTCCAGATAATGGAGGACACTACAACTCAAAGTAATGCAAGTAAGGCTCTTTATCTTGACAACCCTTAAGCGCCTAAATGCGTAAAGGGATTAGACAGGCATTTCTAGTAATCCTCACTGCTTCAAGTGAGATCAGCGCTTGACAAAGTTATTCTCTAGTAGGTTTCTTACAAGTTACCTGAAGGGTACTACACAATATCATATATTTCTCCCCTTTCCAAGTCGTTTTGTAACATTTGGACAGACTACTATACTTACTTGTCAGGATCAGGATTGTCAACTTTGGCTTGTTCCCATATAATAGGATCAACACCTTAAAAAAAAAAAAAAAGTTTTTAGTATGGATAGATCTGAATAGAAATCACATCTTACAGCTGTTAAGCAGGAAAAAATACTAGGAAATACACAAACCCTGTGAACTACGCTAACCTGAATGACTCTTATACAAACTACGGTTAATTAAACAAGG